TACCATCGTGCCAAGTTTCAGCTTTCTACCTGCAATATTCCGTGCGCACCGTGCAGTCAAAAAAAAATTTCGAAATTTCGGCCAAAATTCGGCCCTGAGGGCTTGGAATCGAATTTTTTCGGATTTTAATTTCGTCTATCGTATTCAGCACACTGAACTGCTACAGAAACAGGTATCGATTCCTAAAATACGCACAGGTTGAAAAAGCAGTATTCGAATTTCCGAATTTTTGGATTTTACTTACTTTGACGAAAGTTACTATAGCTCGGGAACAAGGTCGAAATTGAAAAATCGGCTCCACGCGTGCAGTAGATAATTTTGTTGCCTTGGTATAACCGTTGAAATCTGAACCGTGTGATAAGCCCCTAAGGCCAAATCGTGCAGCGACTTTTTTGACCAAAAAATTCAAAATTTTTAAAACCGTCAAAACTCAAAAATTTCCAACTAAAGTTCGTCTAAAAGTTACATATTCAGAATCTCCATGTCATTTCGGACATAGTCGTATCTTTTTACCCGGTACTTTTAGTGCAACAAGTGCCAGTTTTGAAAAAACGCCCACTTCCATGACCGAAAACACAAAAAAAGAGCGCGGCGAAAAGAGAGAGCGGGCAGAGAACCGCTTCCCTCTTCGTTTGGCGGGAGAAAAGAGAGAGTGGGAAAGGTGTGGAGGGTGGTGAGACAAAGGTTTTCTCTTTCGATTTCTGTCAGAGATAAGACGGAGAGAGTGCTGAGTGTGAGGAGGGTGGTACGGAAACTGTCATCGTGACGCGTCATGACGGGATTTTCCGGATTTTTTCGAGAAATTTTTGTAAAATTATTTTTTTTGGTCCTGGATTCTCGGGATTTGGCCGTTTTAGGGCCAAATTTGACGGGGATTTCGGGAAAAATATTGGATTTGGATAATTTTGAGTGCTGAGTCTATTTTTTTCGAGTTTTTTAGTCGATTGTTCCTTATTGTATGAGCTTCTGATCAAGTTTTGGTGGAAGGAAGATTTTTTTAGGTAACAAAATGTAGTCTCGCGGCGGCCGTATGCCGTCGCCTCATGCCGGCGGGCTCTTTAACCAGGCTTAGCGATTAGGGTAAGTTTAGCGATCTTAATTTTTTGATCTAAAACAAGGTCGGCTTAGCGTTGTGAATGCTGAAACTTTCTACTAGGCTCAGTCTAACGCGTAGCGTTTTTCTGCCGCGGCCGGAGGCCGTCGGCAAAGCTGTGGCGAGCGTTTATGTTATTTTCGACGTTGAACAGGTCCAAATCGCGCGCGAAGCAGCGAAACCGGGCGCAGAGCTGCCCGAGAGACGTGAGCAGCCGCAGGCTGCGAAGTCTCGAGCCCTAGTCTAAAATATAATAATTAATAGGGTTTGGGGTTTCTTTTTTCTTTTGCTCCGATTGACTTGATTTTTGGCATGGGGGTTCTTTTAGATGCCCTCTTTGTGAATTTGAAAAAAATTTTCAAAATTTTCAATTTTGAGTGGCCTACGACGTCATGAAAAGTCGAAACTTTGAGTCTCTGTATCTTGCTCCGTTTTACAGCTATCGACTTGATTTTTGGTTTCGTCGCGTATGGTACATAATGGCACAATCACTGTCGAGATTTTTTCGAAATTTCAAAATTTACGAAAAAAATCTCAAAAAAAGACCTTTTTTCGTATCTTTTAATTAGACCGGGGAATATTGAAATGCAAGCTTCTACAGGTCCATATCGGGAAAGCAAATTCATAACTAAGAGATAACTCGATGTATGTGTAGATACGACCATGTACAAAGTTACACTTTCAGAAAACCCCGTCATGATGACGGATTTTCTGGATTTTTTTGATTCCATTGAATTCTACGTACCCGACTTCCTATTAGTACGTGTCTTTCATTCCCGTACTCGCCTTCGTATTTTAGCTCTGGCTTACTGTAAAAAATACGATTTGCACAGTGCAAATTTCAAAAAAATCGTTCTCGGCTCCCAGGTCGAAATTCGAAAAAACGGCTCGCTGATCTTACTGTTTTTGCCCGAAGACTCTCCCTAAATTTTTTCAGAACATTCTACGTAGCCACCGTTTCAGAAAATCTACATACTTGAAAACGCAATTTTCCGAAATTTTCAAAATTTTGACTTTTTCAAAATTTTCTCCCTGATGTACAACAACAATGTCAAAAATATCCAACTATAGATTGTAGAGCTCGAAGAGCTCTACAAATTATCCGCTTACATCGCCTGCGTATCTTTAAAATTACGGCCGTCAGGGCGACCGGAAATTTCGGTCGATTTTTGGTGCACCGTGCAAAAAAAATCGCCCTCAGGGCAATTAGCGGAGTTGAACAAATTGATCATATGGGTGCTATAGGGCACAAAATGAACTACCATCGCGCCAAGTTTCAGCTTTCCACCTGCAATATTCCGTGCGCACCGTGCGGTCGGAAAAAAAATTTGAAATTTCGGCTAAAATTCGGCCCTGAGGGCTTGAAACGGAATTTTTTCGGATTTTGTATACCTCCATCGTATTCAGCACGTTGAACTGCTATAGAAACAGGTATCGATTCCTAAAATACGGACAAGGTGAAAAGGCAGTATTCGAATTTCAGAATTTTGGGAATTTACTTTATTGTACGAAAGTGGAATTATCTCGGGAACAAGGTCGAAATTCAAAAATCCGGCTCTAACATCCCCTCGGGAATTTTGCTGGGTTGACGATGCCGGTTGAATTACACCTGTCGATGTAATCCCCATGGCAGAATCTTTCGGCGAGTTTTGACACCAAAAAATTTAAAATTTTTAAAACCGGCAAAACTTGAAAATTTCTTATTACAATCGGTCTAAAGGTTACATACTTGGAATTTCCATGTCATTTCGGACATAGTCGTATCTTTTTACCCGGTACTTTTAGTGCAACAAGTGCCAGTTTTGAAAAAACGCCCACTTCCATGGCCGAAAACACAAAAAAAGAGCGCGGGGAAGAGAGAGAGCGGGCAGAGAACCGCTTCCCTCTTCGTTTGGCGGGAGAAAAGAGAGAGTGGGAAAGGGTTGGAGGGTGGTTAGACAAAGGTTTTCTCTTTCGATTCCGGTCAGAGATAAGACGGAGAGAGTGCTGAGTGTGAGGAGGGCGGTACGGAAACTGTCATCGCGACGCGTAATGACGGGGTTTTCTGGGTTTTTTGAGAAATTTTTGTAAAATTATTTTTTTTGTCCTGGATTCTCGGGATTTGGCCGTTTTAGGGCCAAATTTGACGGGGATTTCGGGAAAAATATTGGATTTGGATAATTTTGAGTGCTGAGTCTATTTTTTCGAGTTTCTTAGTTGATTTTTCCTTATTGTATGAGCTTCTGACCAAGTTTTGGTGGCAGGAAGCTTATTTTAAGTAACAAAATGTAGTCTCGCGGCGGCCGTAGGCCGTCGCCTCATGCCGGCGGGCTCTTTAACCCGGCTTAGCGATCTGGGACTGACTTAGCGATTAGGGTAAGTTTAGCGATCTTAATTTTTTGATTTAAAACAAGGTCGGCTTAGCGTTGTGAACGCTGAAACTTTCTACTAGGCTCAGTCTAACGCGTAGCGTTTTTCTGCCGCGGCCGGAGGCCGTCGGCAAAGCTTTGGCGAGCGTTTATGTTGTTTTCGACGTTGAACAGGTCCAAAACGCGCGCGAAGCAGCGAAACCGGGCGCAGAGCTGCCCGAGAGACGTGAGCAGCCGCAGGCTGCGAAGTCTCGAGCCCTAGTCTAGGCCTGTGTTATTGACGCATCTGTTTGTTTCACGAATATTAGCTTATGTTGTTGGTTAAAAGCCTATGGGTTTTAATAAATTTTGGTTTGATACGGGCGTGTAGACTACAAATCAAGCGACCTATCATTAGCAAGAGGAAGTGTTCTTTCATTTGATACCAAAAATTTTCATTTCAGGGAAAGGTACAGATTTTATCCAATTCGTAAAGCTGGTTTTTCATGACCGTGGATAATGTAAGTGCGCTTATCTCGTCTTTTGTTCCGTTATTGTAGTTGACAGTTCTAGGCTGGAGAGTTCTAGAGGACACCTCACTCTTTAGTTTTGTTATATTCTCCATCTATCAAACGCCACCAATTTTGATTTCAGGAAAATTGACGGCAAAATCGAGAATCTGCCGACAAAAAATGGCGGCGAAATCCGAGAGAATTTCCAAAAAAAAAATTACGGATGTAATACACCAGACTTATTGCAATTATAATGTACATTGGACAATCAATTGTCGATCGCTTCGCCACCATTGTAATGTCGACCGCGAAGAAGGCAACCGAGACGGAACAAGCCAGCCGAGCAGGGATGGTCAGTGGGCCGGGCTCAAAAACGGAAATTTGCCAGGCGGGCCGGGCCCGTCAACGGCCGGGCCTGGGGTTTTACCCCTTTCATAAAACGACCATAGCTTTACACAAACATATAAGAGACGAGATAAAAGTTTTTGCTCAAAAATTTTTTTGCTTTATACGCTATTTTTAATGCTCTTTCAAATCATATAGGTTCGTTAAGAATGAAGAGTGCAACTATTTATTTGTTGATCCCTTGTGAAGCATAATTGTAAAGGTCATCAATTACAAGATTACCCTCCCCCCGCCGTCCTCCCTACCTTTTTTTGCGGGCCTTTCCGGAAGCGGACCACAGTATTTTAGGAAACACCAAGAATTTCTTTACGAAATTTTTGAACAGTTTTTCGACCAAATTTAGCAATATAGCCCCAAAAGTCGAATAAGATTTTCCGAAATTCGGGTACGAATTCTTCATGTCTTTTCTTTGACCAGCCATTAGCACATCTGAAGGCATAAATTTGAAAGAATGAAGTTCAAGAATCGACAAGTGGAATGAGTCTCAATTTTCGTTCCCATTTCGTTACAACTTTTTCGACCAAAAAAAATCTTCGAGAAGTCAAAAGATGATTTTGTTTTCCAAAAATCTATGGATTTTTTGAATCGCTATAAAAGGGACGAACTTCTGTCGGAATTGGTCAGTTGCATTTCATCAAGCTTCCTCGGCTGGTGGTCAACGAAATGGATGCTACAGTCCTCACGACGTTGTCGACATTGCTGCTCGGATGCAAGGAAATGTTCCACGTTCAGCCGGAAAGCGTTGTCATCCACGCGTTTGTATTGGAAGATGGGAACATATTCCGATACGATGAAACAAGTAACAAGAGGTAAGTTTGTGCTGTTTTTGATTGCCCTCTTTTCTTAGCCGAGTGAATGTGGCATTGCCTAGCAATTTGGAAGGGCAAACAATCAAAGGAATACGGTTGGGGGCCGAGCTGAAGGATGGAGAAGTTTTTGTTGCCGGCCAGATACACATTGGGGTTATGTAAGATCTTTTCAAATTGTTTTTTCTGCATATCGATAAATGTTTCGTCGATCACGTCACGTTTTATTACAGCAAATATGTCTTTTCTGGAAATGGAGATAATCTGGAGAAAACCGACCGCCTCATCGAAGCTGGCGACGCTGCATATTTTGCGAAGGGAAAGGTTTACCAGATCTATTGTAGCGCACACGAGGTTGCGATGTTTACGCTGAAAGGAACTCGAACAGAACATTTTAAGCGGAATGCAAATATATCGCTTCCCTGCGAAGGCCTCTCGTTCAATGAAGAAGGCACTTCCGTGTTCTTCGAGCAAGATAGCCAGTGCAAGACAGCTTTTCTAAGCAGCAACCTGAAGCAGGAAGATGTCTTTGATTGTAGTGCTCAACAGATTTTTAAAAATCCAGGCAGTTTCATTTCAAATCTGTACTCGTTGGTACGTTTCAACATTAAAATTGATTTTTATTTTTTTTCAGAGATATTTGGTGGTCAACCACGAGTCCTGCTTCAGTGATCCTGACGTTTTGACCGAGGAGTTGCTTGACAATACCCATGTTCAATTCCGTTATGCTGAGCCGACTACTACAACCATGGGGTAAGTCGGTTTTCATTCGGGATCAGCTTTTGGCAATCATCCATGTTCTGCCCTGCTGTCGAAAATATTTTTTTCCTATTGCAGAATGAAAATGAAAGATTTGTTTTTGTATGAAACGCTTGTAGCTTTTTGCTGCCAACTGAGATCTCAAGAAGCATAGAAGTTAAAAGGAGCATCAATTTACGGTTTTTTTCGAGATGCGCCTCGGAAAAGGGGAGTTTCAGTCTACCTTCAGATAGAATATAGGCCCCAGAAAACTAAAGTTTTAGCGATTTTTCATCGTCAATATTTTTTACAGTTCCGCGACCGAGAAGACGACCTCCTTATCTCTGCTTTATGGCGTAATTGTTGGCTCTTCCCTGGTAATCTTTATTGGCCTGGTTACTGCTTGCGTGATAGTCTGTCTTTTTTGTGGGAGTGTAAGTTTTGTTGTAAGATTTGAGATATAAACTCGACTTTTTAGAGAATCAGAAGGAAGAAGGGAGAGTCGAAATCCCCCGTGCCCAAGAATGCGGCCGTGGTTGAACCGCCCATGCCAACCCCGGTGCTCCCAGGGCCCAAGACTGCAGTTGTGGTCGAACCGAGCAAGCCAAATCAGCCCGACTTGCCGGCAGGAAAGGCTAAAGAATTGCCCGTTGGCGAATTGAAGAACGCCGATTTGATCCTAGATCTCGCTCCGGATCTTAAGCCCGGTCGAGAGATGTGAGTTCAGGCTTTCGGGATTTGGATTTTTTCGCGTCCCGACATTTCGGGTCAGGGACAACTCGGGTCGCGACACTTCGGGTCAACGACACCTCGGGTCAACGACAGTTCGGGTCAACGATACCGTTTAATATTTTCGCTTCGGGACTGGGAAAACAGAATTTTTTGGTGAATTTGAAAAAAATTTGAAATGTTTTCGCTTCGGGACTTGGGAAAAAGGATTTTTGAAATTGAAATTTTTTCGACTTCTTTTAGACGTTAATGGTTTTGTTTTGATGCCTAGTACTGCTTTCAAAAACATATTTTAACACTAGGTACTAAATAGTACTACCTGGTACTATTTAGTACGAGGTTAAAATTTGGCCGTGAGGCGGTAATGGTGCTGGTTTGGTGCTTAGTAGAGCCCAAAAACACGGTTTTAACACTTGGTACTATATAGTACCAGGAGGTACTATCGGTTTTAGACAAAATTTTAGTGCTGACGGCTCCACAGTTTATATTCAGTCAGGCACACATTTTTCCCAGTCCCGAAGCGAAAAGATTTCAAAATTTTGTTCAAATTCACCAAAAATTTCTTTTTTCCCAGTCCTGAAGCGAAAATTTTAAACGGTATCGTTGACCCGAAATGTCGTTGACCCAAGGTGTCGTTGACCCGAAGTGTCGTTGACCCGAGTTGTCCCTGACCAGAAATGTCGTAGCGCCGATTTTTTTTATTAATGTTAATTTTTTGTTTGGCTTTCCTTTTTTATTTAATCTTTTCAATTTTTTAGTGCCGCCGACGAGGATGGACTGGCTGGGACCGAGACATTCATCGCTTACAAGCCTGGTGATCCCCCCGGAGAAGGAATGGACGTTTCGGTGAGCTGCATGATCGATAAGTGTCTGGTCTAGCCTTTCTCTTATTTTATTTATCTTTTCAGCCCGAGTTTGTATTGACTGTGAACAACACAGACCTCACACTTCTGAAGGCTGAGGATAAATTTCCCACCTTCAGTGGTAGTATTGCGCCCTACGCTTTTGTAAGAACAGAAAAGGGAGGGAAGGAAGTGTTCGGAATCAAGTTTGTCGGCTTAGAGGGTTTGGAGTTGCTGAAGGTCGAGGTCAAAATCCTGGAACAGCTTAACAAAAGCTTTGAAGAGTAAGGATCTTGATGAAACTTTGGGCCTAGTTCTTAAGAAGAATTTTCCTGTCCCCAAGGCTGGACTTGGAACTAATTGTTAGGCCTAAGCTGTTTATGTTTTCTGAGAGTTCAGTCCCGCAAAGAAGATCCCAAACGCAATTGAAATTCATCAAGAAAAATGGAGCTATTAATTCTCTTTTTGAGTAACGATATTTAATTTTAGAGAAGAACGTCGCCATCCAACCGTTTTCCGGGCATCACATTGCTTTTTTTCTAAGATTCGTGAAGGAGGGATTCTAGTTTCGGAATTTTATGCGAAGAATCTCCAAACAGAGGCAGTCAAACTGGACCTTCCGAGAGCTTTCATCCTTGGGTATAGATGTCTCTTGTGTCTCCGCCAGCTGCATTCCATCGGATTTGCCCATCTCAACGTGACTCCAGCCAGTTTTGTCTTCAACGTAAGAGCAGGAAAGGTAGGTTGTAGGGTATTTTTATTTTGTCGTAAAAATTTGACGTCTTTTTTCAATTCCAGGTCATTCTGACCGAATTTGGAATTGGCCGTCGTTTCGGCCGCGAACGCTTCGGCAACCGCGGGGATGTGATGTTTGCCTCAATTGGAAGCCATGATTTCTCGCTGGTCGCCGAGCTCGACGATTATCAGTCCTGGCTGTTGGTGGTGCTCAGTTTTATGGCTGAATTGCCATATTCCTCGATTGCGAAGTCCAACGAAAACCTCGAGGACAAGGCCCGTCTTTGGAGTGAGGTGCGCGCAGCCAAGTGGAAATTGATCGCCAACATCAAGGATGATGAGAGGTTTGGTGGGAAAGAATCTACTAAGATTTTGGTGAATTTATCCAAGTTGACTTGGAGCCCAACCAAGGAAGGGACTATGGACTTTAATGGAGTTGTTAGTTTCCTCGAAAAGGTGGGTAATTCTGTGGAGGAAGAGGTTTAGGTTATTTTAAAAGTTATAGATCATCTTGGAGACGAAACTTACGCGTTGAGTTTTTCCGACTTGCGCCCTAGTTTTGATATTGTCCGTTCGTTTTTAGAGGACCTGGGACGATTGGGGAAAAAGACGGTTGGGGAAACCGAAAAGTGTTATTTTTGTTTGATGCAAATGTCGAAATTAGGATAATCGATGGTGCTGATTTTGAAAATCATGTTAACTTTTTCTCTAGTCCTATGCAGTACGAGGTGAAAATATGGCTTTTGACGTTAATGGTGTTGTTTTGATTCTTAGTACTCTTCCAAAACACGTTTTAAAAACTTGGTGCTATTTAGTACGACCTGATACTATACAGGCGAAAATAGCAGTATTAGGCACCATAACAACACCATTAACGTCTAAAAGTTCGATGGAACTATAAATGTTCTAAAAATTATGTAGATCATGTTCCAGAAGTATTCCAACTCAACGCCACCTCAAACATGGCCATTTGACTAAAAACTTACTGATAACGAAATGTCCTTTTTATTCTCAATGTCCTGCTGGGCACATTCTCTGCTTAAAAATCTGTTTTTTCTACTCACGAAGCGAAAACATTAAAAAATTTTTTTTTCTTTTTTTTTGGTAAAGGGTAACCTATCCTCCGCAAATCATTCAAACTTTTGAAAACTATATTTTCATTCCTACTCTCCGACCCATGAAATTTCTCGATTTTTACCGCAGGCATTCGAAACGATAAAAAGCGCAATGGGTCTCTTCCTTCGGAAGAGAGCGGTGTGGCCGAGTGGTTAGTGCCGTAGTCTGGGAATCAAGAGGGAGGACGCCGCACGGGTTCGACTCCCATTTTGGGCTGAATCAACTTTTTTTGAAGTTGAAGGTCGGAAAAATAAATTTTTGGGCCAAGACTGATTTATTACGTCTTAGAAACTCAATAAAAATCATTTTAAGCCAAAATAAGAATTGTAAACCCGTGAACAATTAAGCGAAAAGGGGTTCATATAGGACTTTAAGTCAACTTCCGATTGAGTTTTCACCCCTAAAAACCTAAAATGGGCAGATTTATGTATCATTGATCAGCGCATTTTTTCTGATTTTTTGAGATATGTCCCGTCAAAAAGTAGGAGCCCCCATAAAAGTACTTTCCTTGTGAGCAAAAATTTTTATTTCGTCTCTTTCATTCTTCTTTTTTTTGCTGGTCCGGAAAACGAAAATTTTCGATTTTCAACAACATTATTTTCCAATATTACTTTCAGACCGTTTCGGACTACAAAATGAACATGGCCGAGAGCTCTTGGCGGTCACGGACTTGGAAAGATCCCCTCTTGCATTGTCCAGCTAGTGTCAGTGACCTTCGACTTCTCACAACGCCTGCCGCCGATTAGGAACCGCCACCGGAGTTGACTTCCAAATGATCTAGAGTTTTTATTAAGAGTCGGATAAACTTTTGTAATCGAATTTCAATGAATAAAATTTGTAGAGTTGGTGATATTTCCTTTATCGAAAACACCGGGATTGATGGTTCAGTCCGAGCAGTGCACCTGAAACAAACAGTGCACCTGGGCGAACGGTGCACCTGAGCGAACGGTGCAGAATTCCATCGAAGACCCCGCACGGATTGCGACCCAGCATCGATTGTGACCCAAAATGGGGTAGAGCGACCCTGGGGCACATCATTCCGAACTTTTTTTGTGAGCAAAATCCGGTGTCAAAAAAGCGATTTTTTTGTAATGATTTTTTTTAACAGGTAGAGGCGCCTCAGACAAGGCGTAATAAAGTGCGGAAAAATATCAGAGCGATAAAACACATGTCGCTCTCTGAGATTATGCAAATTTTAAGGATTTTAACGGCCTACAAAGGCCGGGAAAAATGATTTAAAAAATGGTATTTCTTGCTTTTGATGCCTCAGAACTGCACTTTACCGTACACTTTTGAAAAAACGAAAGCTCCTATTTTGTAGGAAATTTGATGCTGTATAACATAGTTGGGAATTAGGTCATTCCCTCCCATGGTTCCTTTTTTCTATGGCTAAAGCCCCCACTTTTCGGCACAAAATCGCGATTTTTTTGCCTAACAAGGGAAGTCACTTAAGTCACGGATCGATTTTTAAAAACGACTGTTACAGCGATGGGGAGGGTAGGACGGAGATATCAAATCTGAAAACCGCTACCTCCACCGGCCTCTGGGAGCCGAGATAATCGACTAAAAAGTTTGACCAAATTCCTCCGAACATTTCTTCCTTCCGAAAGAACGAAACCCAGCGAACCGAATGGTCCGGTGGTCTATAAGCGCGCTTTCGGGCCTTTACCTTTTCAGGTTCGAATCCGCGCGGGTCTCGAACTTGTGAAAAATGTATAAAACAGTTGATGTAATCCAGTAAATTTACTAGCAATTCATTTTTAGGTTTTATGCCTATTTTACGGTAAGTTTTCAACCTTGAAAACTCAAATTGTTTGAAACTCACATTCAAATTATTACTCTGAAATTTTATTGTAAAATATGCGAAAAATCAAAAATTTTATCTTACCGGTAAATTTACTGGATTACAGGAAAAGTTTAATAAATTATTTTACCCATGCGGATTCGAACCTGAAAAGGTCAGGCCCGGAAGCGCGCTTCCAGACCACCGGACCATTCGGTTCTCTTCCCTCCTTCTTTCGGAAGAGAGGACTACTCGGGGAAACTTTTTTTGGTCAAACTTTTTTAGTCGATTATCTCGGCTCCCAGAGGCCGGTGGAGGTAGCGGTTTTCAGATTTGATATCTCCGTCCTACCCTCCCCATCGCTGTAACAGTCGTTTTTAAAAATCGATCCGTGACTTAAGTGACTTCCCTTGTTAGGTTATTTTAAAAGTTATGTATAGATCACGAAGGACGGAAAGGTCCGCCGTGCGGAAAGGTCCGCTGGACGGAAAGGTCCGCTGTGCGGAATGGTCCGCTGCGGAATGGTCCGCTAAAAAAGGAAAAGGGGGGGAGGTTTTTTTTTCGATGGCGCGGGTTTCAAAAATCGTATCCATTTTTTCTGAATTTTACAATTTTGCTTAGGCAGTAGTGTCAATTAGTAATTTTTTAAAAATTGTTTTGAATAATGGATTTAGGGGTTTTCGAGGGTGCTGATCTCAAAAATCGTATCCATTTTTCCTGAATTTTACAATTTTGCTTAGGCAGTAGTGTTAGTTAGTAATTTTTTAAAAATTGTTTTGAATAATGGATTTATTTAGGGGTTTTCGATGGCGCTTATGCGAGATAACAATGATTGATTTTTCTTTCTTTGGGTTTTTCCGATGACACTTTGCCGATTTTCTTAAATGCTACGTTTTGGAAAAAAAGGTGTTCTTAATTGACCTTTCAATGCGTTCCCAACGTTTAGAAAAATTATTATTCGCGCTGAAATATCGTTCCGTTTTCTCGATTAGGTCACATCTTTTTTGAGAAAAAATGTTACAGTAATCCGTCATATGGTAACTTTGGGCAAAAACAAAGAAAGCGAATATTCTATGCCTAGGGATGATTAAGTTGTCCAATTTTGGTTTAATTATGAATCATCGATTTTAACAATGTCCGGCCTCCGTTAGGCTAAGCTTCAAAGTGTAGTGAAACGCGTTTTAAGTCTTCGGTGCAGACTTAAGACTTTGTGCACTGATTTCGAAAAACTTAGAAAAATTTACCGAACTTCAGAATTCGGTGCCGGGAAAAAAATAAGTCGACGCCAATTTTCCGAATTGGGCGTCGACTTTTTTGTGCACCGAAAATCGCGATTTGGGAAAAAAAAATTCAGCGATCTTATATGACCACCTTTATATATGGCACGTTGTCGCCAGGCACATCTGAAGGCATAAATTTGATCAGTTTGAAAGAATGAAGTTCAAGAATCGACAACTGGAATGAGTCTCAATTTTCGTTTCCATTTTCTCACAACTTTTTCGACCGAAAAAATCTTCGAGAAGTCAAAAGATGATTTTGTTTTCCAAATATCTATGGATTTTTTGAATCGCTATAAAAGGGACGAACTTCTGTCGGAATTGGTCAGTTGCATTTCATCAAGCTTCCTCGGCTGGTGGTCAACGAAATGGATGCTACAGTCCTCACGACGTTGTCGACATTGCTGCTCGGATGCAAGGAAATGTTCCACGTTCAGCCGGAAAGCGTTGTCATCCACGCGTTTGTATTGGAAGATGGGAACATATTCCGATACCGATACGATGAAACCAGCAACAAGAGGTAAGTTTGTGCTGTTTTTGATTGCCCTCTTTTCTTAGCCGAGTGAATGTGGCATTGCCTAGCAATTTGGAAGGGCAAACAATCAAAGGAATACGGTTGGGGGCCGAGCTGAAGGATGGAGAAGTTTTTGTTGCTGGCCAGATACACATTGGGGTTAAGTAAGATCTTTTCAAATTGTTTTTTTCTGCATATCGATAAATGTTTCGTCGATCACGTCACGTTTTATTACAGCAAATATGTCTTTTCTGGAAATGGAGATAATCTGGAGAAAACCGACCTCCTCATCGCAGCTGGCGACGCTGCGTATTTTGCGAAGGGAAAGGTTTACCAGATCTATTGTAGCGTACACAAGGTTTCGATGTTTACGCTGGAAGGAACTGAAACAGTGTTTGTTAAGCGGAATACAAATATATCGCTTCCCTGCGAAGGCCTCTCGTTCAGTGAAGACGGCACTTCCGTGTTCTTCGAGCAAGATAGCCAGTGCAAGACAGCTTTTCTAAGCAGCAGCCTGAAGCAGGAAGATGTCTTTGATTGTACTGCTCAACAGATTTTTAAAAATCCAGGCAGTTTCATTTCAAATCTGTACTCGTTGGTACGTTTCAACATTAAAATTGATTTTTATTTTTTTCAGAGATATTTGGTGGTCAACTACGGGTCCTGCTTCAATGATCCTGACGTTTTGACCGAGGAGTTGCTTGACAATACCCATGTTCAATTCCGTTATGCTGAGCCGACTACTACAACCATGGGGTAAGTCGGTTTTCATTCGGGATCAGCTTTTGGCAATCATCCATGTTCTGCCCTGCTGTCGAAAATATTTTTTTTCCTACTGCAGAATGAAAATGAAAGATTTGTTTTTGTATGAAACGCTTGTAGCTTTTTGCTGCCAACTGAGATCTCAAGAAGCATAGAAGTTAAAAGGAGCATCAATTTACGGTTTTTTTCGAGATGCGCCTCGGAAAAGAGGAGTTTCAGTCTACCTTCAGATAGAATATTAGCCCCAGAAAACTAAAGTTTTAGCGATTTTTCATCGTCAATATTTTTTACAGTTCCGCGACCGAGAAGACGACCTCCTTATCTCTGCTTTATGGCGTAATTGTTGGCTCTGTCCTGGTCGTCCTTATTGGCTTGGTTACTGCTTGCGTTATCGTCTGCTTTTTCTGTAGGGGTGTAAGTTTTGTCATCAGGTCCGAGATATAAACTCGACTTTTTAGAGAATCAGAAAGAAGAAGGGAGAGTCCAAATCCCCCGATCCCAATATTGCAGTTGTGGTCGAACCGCCCATGCCAACCCCGGTGCTCCCAGGGCCCAAGAATGCAGCCGTGGTCGAACCGCCCATGCCAACCCCGGTGCTCCCAGGGCCCAAGACAGCAGTTGTGGTCGAACCGAGCAAGCCAAATCAGCCCGACTTGCCGGCAGGAAAGGCTAAAGAATTGCCCGCTGACAAATTGAAGAACGCCGATCCGGTTCTTAAGGCCAAGGGAGGGATGTGAGTTTGTTGATTTTTTATTGAATTTTTTCATTTTTTTAGTGCTGCCGACGAGGATGGACTGGCTGGGACCGAGACATTCATCGCTTACAAGCCTGGTGATCCCCCCGGAGAAGGAATGGACGTTTCGGTGAGCTGCATGATCGATAAGTGTCTGGTCTAGCCTTTCTCTTATTTTATTTGTATTTTCAGCGCGAGTGTAGATTGACTGTGAACAACACAGACCTCGTACTTGTGAAGATTCAGGATAAATTTCCCACCTTCAGTGGTGGTATTGCGCCCTACGCTTTTGTAGAGAAGGGAACGAAGGCAGTGTTCGGAATCAAGTTTGTCAGCTTAGAGGGTTTGGAGTTGCTGAAGGTCGAGGTCAAAATCCTGGAACAGCTCAACAAAAGCTTTGAAGAGTAAGGATCTTGATGAAACTTTGGGCCTAGTTCTTAAGAAGAAAGAAAGAGATTCATCAAGAAAAAATAGTTTTGGAGCTATTAATTCTCTGTTTGAGTAAAGATATTTAATAGTTTAATTTTAGGAAAGAACGCCTCCATCCGACCGTCTTCCGGGCATCACATTGCTGTTTTACGAAGGCTCGTGAAGGAGGGATTCTAGTTTCGGAATTCTATGCGAAGAATGTCCAAACAGAGGCAGTCAAACTGGACCTTCCGAGAGCTTTCATCCTTGGGTATAGATGTCTTTTGGGTCTCCGCCAGCTGCATTCCATCGGATTTGCCCATCTCAACGTGACTCCAGCCAGTTTTGTCTTCAACAGAGAAGATAAGGTGGGTTTGGGGTATTTTTATTTTGTTTTGTCGTAAAAATTTGACGTCCTTTTTTTTATTCCAGGTCATTCTTACCGAATTTGGAATTGGCCGTCGTTTCGGCCGCGAACGTTTCCTCAACTACGGGGATGTGATGTTCGCCTCAATTGGAAGCCATGATTTCTCGCTGGTCGCCGAGCTCGACGATTATCAGTCCTGGCTGTTGATGGTGCTCAGTTTTATGGCTGAATTGCCATATTCCTCGATTGCGAAGTCCAACGAAAACCTCGAGGACAAGGCCCGTCTTTGGAGTGAGGTGCGCGCAGCCAAGTGGAAATTGATCGCCAACATCAAGGATGATGAGAGGTTTGGTGGGAAAGAATCTACTAAGATTTTGGTGAATTTATCCAAGTTGACTTGGAGCCCAACCAAGGAAGGGACTATGGACTTTAATGGAGTTGTTAGTTTCCTCGAAAAGGTGGGTAATTGTGTGGAGGAAGAGGTTTAGATTATTTTAAGGATTGGTGACGGAAAGGTCCGTTAAAAAAGGGAGAGAGGACGGCGGGGAAGGGGCGGGGCGAGGGTGATTTCAAAAATCGTATCAATTTTTCTTTAGTAGCAGTGTTAAGTAGTCACTTTTTGAATTTTTTTGTTGAGTGGTAGATATAGGGGTTTTTAAGGGCGCTGATTTCAAAATCAGATTCATTTTTACTGAATTTAAGCCACCCCCTTTCCGCCGTCCTCTCTCTTTTTTTAGCGGACCTTTCCGTCCTTCGTGCTTTTTTTTACAAGGAAAGTACTTGTATGGGGATGAAGTTACAGGTCGACATATATATCAAAAAATTTGGAAAAATTTTCTGATTCAGAATATATAAAAATTAGCTGCCTAATTTTGGTGTATCAACGAGTTTTATCAATAGAAAAGCAACAAAAGCGCGCTCGGTCTCTTCGTTTGGAAGAGAGTGGTGTGGCCGAGTGGTTAGAGCGCTGGACTGACGATCCGATGGGAAAGGCTTCCCACGGGTTCGAAACCTTTTGCCACAGAACCCGTTTTTTTAACATTGGAACTACTATTAAGTTGTAGTTGTAATCCAATTTGATATTTTAAGGCTTGTCAAGGCTTCAGAATTTATTTTAGCAGAAAACAAAATTTTTTTCTTGGTAAAAACACGATCAAAAAGACTCTTGCATGGTGTCGCGAGAAAACTTCTGAGTACAAAAACTCAGAAGTTTTCAGACCAAAATTAAGCAGCTAAATTTTATATATTCTGAATCAGAAAATTTATACGAATTTTTTGATGTATATCTCGACCTGTAACTCCATACCTCATCGAAGTACTTTCCTTGTGAACTAGACCAGACCGATAATCAACAAAATTGTTTTTCAATTTTACTTTCAGACTGTCTCGGACCATAAAATGAACATGCACAAGAGCCCTTGGTGGTCGAAACAAAACACCTTCGAGCCAACTCCAACTGAAGTCGGTGACCTTCGACTTCTCACAACGCCTGCCCATTAGAAACCGCCACCGGAGTTGATTTCACAAATGATCTTGAGTTTTTATAAAGAATAGGATAAACTTTTTTAATCGAATTTCAATGAATAAAATTTGTAGAGTTGGTGATATTTCCTTTATCGAAAACACCGGGATTGGCTCGGTTATGATGCTGTCGCATAGAACTTAGTTTTGGGATCTAAATTGTCTTGGTCAACATCGACCTCATTTTCTAATTAACAAGAAAAACGCTTTTTTGCCAAATCTTTGCCAGCAAAGCGCAGAAAAAATAATTTCTTGATAAAATACTCCCAAAAATCAGTTTGAAAATTAAAGACTATGCCTTGTTCATTCCATAATTGTGTGTGAGGCCTTGGTTGTTGGATGAATTTTCATCTCACTTGTGTCAGGCCGTGTCGAAAAACTCGCTTAACATCTACGAAACCAGCTGGATCTCCACAGCCCCAATCAAGAAGCTTCCCCTCAAGCCAACTGAACTACCTGACCTGGAGACGCCGAAAACACCTGCCAATCAGAAGCTTCCACCAACTGAGAAGAGATCTTCATTTTTGTGCAAGGTATCCTTTTGTACGTCTGCGCGTCAAAAGTTTGGAACAAGGCCAGATCTTCTTTGCGGATGGGAGTTTCATTTCTAAAAAAAAACACAAGTATTCGTAGGGTTTGTGGTTATACTTTTGTTTTGCCCCGATTGACTTGATTTTTGGCATGGTGGTTCTTTTAGATGCTCTCTTTGAGTATTTGAAAAAAAATTTCGAAATTTTCAATTTTGAGTGACCTATGACGTCATGAAATGTCGAAACTTTGAGCTACCATATCTCGCTTCGTTTTATAGGTATCGACTTGATTTTTGGTTTTGTCGCGTATGGTACATAATGGGACAATCACTGTCGAGATTTTTTCGAAATTTCAAATTTTACGAAAAAAATCTCAAAAAATGACCTTTTTTCGTAAACGTTCGACGCGTCCAGCTTTATTGAAATGCAAGCTTCTACAGGTCCATATCGGGAAAGCAAATTCATAACTAAGAGATATCTCGATGTATGTGTAGATACGGCCATGTACAAAGTTACACTTCCAGAAAACCCCGTCATGATGACGGATTTTCTGGATTTTTTCAATTCCATTAAATTCTACGTACCAAACTTCGTATTTGGTCGTGCCTTTCTTTTTTGTAGTGAACTTCGTATTTTAGCCATGGCTTACTGTAGAAAATACGATTTGCACAGTGCAAAGTTCGACAAAATGGTTCTCGGCTCCCAGGTCGAAATTCAAAAAAATCACTCGCAAATCTTATTTTTTTTGCCCGAAGATTGCCCTCAATTGTTTTTGGACCTGTAGTCATCGTCATCTCTCAGAACCAGTTTCGCCAAAAAAAAGTCGATTTTTCAAATTTTTCAAATTTTCAGTTTTTCAAATTTTTACCCCGGACGGTCAACAACAATGTCAAAAGTGCCCAACTATAGATTGTAGAGCTCGAAGAGCTCTACAATTTACAAGCTTACACCACGTTCGTATCTCTCGAATTACGGCCCCCAGAGCGGCCGGAGATTTCGGCCGAAAAATGGGCACCTTTTTCAAAAAGATCCCCTCAGGGCAACAAGCGATGTTTGAAAACTTGACTTCCTGGAGGTGATAGTAGACAAACCAAACTACCATCATGCCAAGTTTCAGGTCGCTGCGTTCCGTATTCGCTGTGCACTGGGTCATCAAAAAAATTTCGAAATTTTGGCCGGATTTCGGCCCTCAGGGCTTCAGATGGAATTTTTTTGAATTTTTATTTGTTCTGCCGGGTTCAGTAGGTTAAACTGCTATAGAAACGACAATCGAATTCTAAAATACGACCAAGCTGCGAGAGGAATATTAGAATTACAAAATTTTTGGATTTTGCTTACTTTGGCGAAAGTAACATTATCTGAAAAACAAGGTCGAAATCGAAAAATCCCGCTCTCAGGTGCACTTCGTATTTAGACTTCGGAGAAGTATGCAAAACCTCAGTTGTAACATACAACTTTTTGGTAAGATATTTGGAACGAAAAAAAATTTCAAAATTAACATAATCACAAAATCGACCAAAACTCAAAAATTTCCAACCAAAATTCGTCTAAAAGTTACATATTCGGAATCTCCACGTCATTTTGGATATAGTCGTATCTTTTTTCCCGGTACTTTTAGTGCAACAAGTGCCAGTTTTGAAAGAACGCCCACTTCCATGACCGAAAACACAAGAAAAGAGCGCGGCGAAGAGAGAGAGCGGGCAGAGAACTGTTTCCTTCTTCGTTTGGCGGGAGAAAAAAGAGAGTGAGAAAGGGGTGGAGGGTGATTAGACAAAGGTTTTCTCTTTCGATTTCGGTCAGAGATAAGACGGAGAGAGTGCTGAGTGTGAGGAGGGTGGTACGGAAACTGTCATCGTGACGCGTAATGACGGGAATTTCTGGATTTTTTTTGAGAATTTTTGTAAAATTATTTTTTTGGTCCTGGATTCTCGGGATTTGGCCGTTTTAGGGCCAAATTTGACGGGGATTTCGGGAAAAATATTGGATTTGGATAATTTTGAGTGCTGAGTCTATCTTTTCGAGGTTTTAGTTGATTTTTCCTTATTGTATGAGCTTCTGATCAAGTTTTGGTGGAAGGAAGATTGTTTTAGGTAAAAAAATGTAGTCTCGCGGCGGCCGTAGGCCGTCGCCTCATGCCGGCTCTTTAACCCGGCTAAGCGATCTGGGACTGACTTGGCGATTAGGGTAAGCTTAGCGATCTGGACTTTTTGACCTAAGACAAGGTCGGCTTGGCGTTTTGAACGCCGAAAGTTGCTACTAGGCTCAGTCTAACGCGTAGCGTTTTTCTGCCGCGGCCGGAGGCCGTCGGCAAAGCTTTGGTGAGCGTTTCTTCCGCAAAAGCGACTTTTCATCACAATTTATCTTCAAAAATGGCTCAAATCGTGCGCAAAGCAGCGAAACCGGGCGCAGGGTTGCCCGAGAGACGTGAGCAGCCGCAGGCTGCGAAGTCTCGAGCCCTAGTCTTTTTTATTAGAAGCTCCACGTATTAAGAACCTCAGTGAATACATAGCCATGGAAATCAGGAAGCTCGTTGGAGTTTAAAAAAATTTTTTAATAGGTGCGTCAAAAGTTTGGAACAACCTTTAGAAAGTGATTATAAACTTCGGGAGGAGGCAGGATACCCTCGTATTTAGTACTTTTGGATGATGCAAGGAATCAGAATGCCAATGGCATACTGATTTTAAACTAATTTTAAAATAAAATCATGATTTTCGTCAATAAACTCAAAGCGAAAAAAGCTCATTAAGAAAGCCAAAAATCACGCTCAAATTTGCGAAAGAATGAATTTTTTTTGGGTTGTTATGGTATCGGTGTGTAAGCGTTCTAAAATACAGGGTGCGGCAATTTTTCGGCCGGATTTTAATTGGCCATGACTTTTTTAGTTTTTTGGCAAATGCTAAATAAAATTCTTTTTTCCCTGACTTTTTCGCAAATTTGAGCGTAATTTTTGGCTTAATAAGCTTTTTTTTCACTTTGAGTTTATTTTTGAAAATCAGTATGCCATTGGCATTCCGATTCATTGTGTCATCCAAAATAACTAAATGCGAGGATACCTGCCTCAATCCCGAAGTTTATAATCGCCTTCCAAAGGCTGTTCCAAACCTTTGACGCACCTTAAAAAAAAACTTTTTTCTTTAAACTCCAACGAGCTTTTTTGATGGATATGTATTCATTGAGGTTCTTAATACATGGAGCTACAAATAAAACAGAAATGACATTCCCATCTCAAGCTGCAAAGAAGATCTGGCCTGTTCCAAACTTTTGACGCGCAGTATATATATTATTATCCATCTTAATTTATGACATGAACGTATAAAATCAATAAGGAACATAATGGTTGAGCAAATTGCCTTGAACATCGATGGCTTGAGTGCCATATTTTCTCTCCAAATAATCCAGATCAACTCCGTCTTCTCTGATCATGTCCTTGAGGCTTCTGTGGTTCTCGCCGTGTGTCCTTTTCATCGTTTCTACTTCATTCACTGGGAAGAGCGTGTCCAAACCTCTTCGCACAAACTCTGAGGATCCTTTTAGATGAACGTATTTGGGCTTGATATTCTTCGTCTTCATTACATCATCTAGCCATGAGATTACGTCCGAGTTTGGCTTCTCAATCTTGGCTCCGTCCCCGACTTGGAGGGCTTCTGAAACGAACAATTTTGGTTCTCATTTGGTAAAACTTGGCCCTGTAAAGCTCAAAATTTTCTCCTGTCATCTGCGAGGTGTTTGGACTGCTTTTGGCGGGTTGACCGTTCGAAACGATAAAACAACAAGCCTTAAAATTAAGTAGTCCACATATAAAGTCGATCCCCAAATATTATCAATCTCCAAGTCGTCCGGATTTCTCTTACCATCTGAGAAAAGGAACGGATGGAGTTTGAAAGCTTCAATCGGATGAACCTGCTTTTCCTTGTGTGGATCAAGCTTCGTGTTGACTCCTCTGCAGAACTTCTCGGGATGAGCTTTGATGTCCTTCAGCTCCGCTCGAACGACACTTGCCTCCATTTGTTGTAAGGGACTGTAGTCTGGCACTGGACAAGCTGAAATTTTCATGACTTTTGTAATGTTCACAATCACTCACCTGGGCATCTCTTTTCCACCTCATCTTGCATCTGGAAGATGAAATCAACAAGGAAATCCTCCAAGGGAAGTGAAGGATCTTCGTCATGTTGTTGTTTATAAAGCCTCCTCATGGCTTCCTTCATCAATTCCCTGGCCATATTTTGGTTCAGATGGGTTGTTTTAGCCATAGAACCAGGAAGCCGAGTCTTAGGCATCAAATCGTTGATTGTCTCCGAGAGAACGGCCGAAATAGGTCGCCGCTTGATGATCCCCGTATCAAAAGGGGCTGGAAATACAGGGTGTTTCAAGAAATTTGGCAGAAACTAGTTGCGAATATTTTTGAGCTCTTGCTAGTTATCGCAGAAATTCTTTTTGTTTCTAAAACTTGACAGCGGGCGGTTTTGTACTGAACAAAAAAAAATTTTTTTCGTCGGCGGAGAGGCCAGTTCTCGGCGGAGGCATTTGGGGCCTTTTTTAAAAATCACACCTTATTACATCGTGGAAACTCTGTTACAGTGGCCAAAATCATATTTACGTTAAATCTCCGTGGATTTTGCGGTATGCTTTTTTTGTTTTCGATTTTCGCTCATCCGCGGAGGCACGGCGGAGACCTCAGGTTTCGGCGGACGTCGTTTTGACTCTTTGGATCATTCAATTCGGGTTGGAAAAAAGTGTGGGGTGATTTTTTGTTGTCATCCGATGCACAGATGCAAAAATTTCGCACTTTTTTCCCCGGCGGAGGATTCGGCGGAGGCTTTATCAAAGGGTCAGAACAGTCTTAGGAGTCCGGGAAAAAACTCAGCTACAAGAATCCATCACAGCAACATCATTTTTCTTATTTTTTGGTCCGGCGGACACATCGGCGGAGGATTCGGCGGAGGCTTTATCAAAAGAGTCAAACTTTTGTTTTGACCCTTTTGATAAAGCCTCCGCCGAATCCTCCGCCGGGGGGAAAAAGTACAAAATTTTTGCCATCTGTGCATCGGATGACAACAAAAAATCGCCCCAACCTTTTTTCCAACATGGATTTGCAAAAACCGAGGGCCCAAAACAAAGTCCGCCGAAATCTGAGGTCTCCGCCGCGCCTCCGCGGATGTTGCGTAAAATCGAAAACGCAAAAAAAGCATACCGTAAAATCCACGGAGGTGTAACGTAAACATGATTTCGGCCACTGTAACAGAGTTTCCGCCATGTAATAAGGTGTGATTTTTAAAAAAGGCCCCAAATGTCTCCGCCGAGAACTGGCCTCTCCGCCGACGAAAAATTTTTTTTTTTGTTCAGTACAAAACCGCCCGCTGTCAAGTTTTAGAAACAAAAAGAATTTCTGCGATAACTAGCAAGAGCCCAAAAATATTTGCAACTAGTTTCTGCCAAATTTCTTGAAACACCCTGTATAATTGATCTCGCAAGCCAAACCTAATATGTACTTATTTGTTGGTTGCTAAAACGTTTTGCTCTCAGTTTTCAGACGCAAAGACTTACCGTCCGGCATAGCTTCAATTGCCGTGGCACACCAAAAGTGGAAAACAAAGAGCAGTGAAAGAGAAAACAACATCTTTTCTGGGCCTATTCTTTTGTAATTAACTTCAGAAAGACTTATTTCGTATTTATAGACGAATAAGTTCCAATAAAATTGACTTTCAGATTGGAAAAAGCCGACTTTTGACTATTTGCATTTGTTTAATGGGTTTAATTAAATACTGGTAAGATCAATGTTCGTTTGGCCATACAATAGGACTGTTGACTTCTTTTTGGTCCCCCCGCAATCATGGCTAACTTCCATCTTGGGCCTCTCGGCGCCTGATATGGCAAATGTTATTCCGTTCTTCTGGTCCAGGCCCATTGTCCTAAAAATTAAATCCGATCAATAATAAAGTGTTAAGATGCACTTGATAAGAGCGGGTACGAGAACACAGCGGAAAACGGCTTCACTCACATAGTAGAATCTCCAGTGGTAATAGTGACCCGGGTCTTCTCCGGATCCCAAGTTTTGTGACACATGAATGTAATTCGTGTAGCAGCCACATAACAGATCAACAATCCAAACACCAGCAATCTCATAGCCGGAAACACATTGTATTACCATCGCCTTCAATGGGACCTTTCTTTTATATATGGTCATGTGTAAACAGTAACAGTAGGGGTCATTGTTTCGGCTATTGTTTCTGCTGGTCAAGATGCGTATTGTTGGGAAACCGGGTTCGAGGTATTTTTTGTGTTGTTTGATTATTCCTTTGATGACTGCTGAACACTGCCAGTAACACGTAACACGTAAAAAATGATGATGTTGCTTCTAGTGTGATGATCACTAACCATCATGATATTAACATTAGGTCTGCCTCAAATCTCTGTTTTGGAGTGTGAAGGGGCTCGAAACCCCTTCACACACAATCTTGAACTATTTATAAAATAACATGTAGAAGGAAGGAAAGCAAATATTTTTTTTTTATATTCTCCCTTACCCTCGAGAGTTTTTTCCGGCGTTCCATTTTTTAATCCTTGCCCTTTCGCGAGTTACATGTGCAAACAGCCAGACAGTCGTTTTTTCGCCCCGAGAAAAGAGCCCGCAGGAAGAGAAAGACGCACTTTTTTTGCGAAAAAATGGCTGTCGCCGAGGGGTGGCGCCTAGTACGAAAAAACACGAACAGCGCATAAAAAAGGAGATGTTTTTTGGTGACGGCCGGCTTAAAATATTTGGAAGGGGATTCGCGAAAATTCATTCGTTTCACAAAGCATCCATTGTGTGGGGATCCGGAAAGATTGTCCCAAAAGACGAAGAGGATTTTTCGGTAAAAGGAAAGGGCTTGTCTTTGAGGGGGGAAGTCGGAATGGAACTTGTAGAGTTTTTTTCAAAATTTTGTTGGCAAAGATTCGCTCTTCAAAGGTCTTAGCTTGCGTTTTGAAACTTGCGATAAAACGAAATTTTTAAAAAAATGTACTAGAGGAATTTTGAAATTTTCATAGAATTTTTTACGTATTTCAAGATTTTTTTGACCAAATTTTTTTTGAATACCGTATGTTCAACCGAATGCCAGCGTTCAGCTTTAAAAAGTTAATTTCCGTTCGGTTGCTTTCCTCTCTTGCACAATCCGGCCACAAAACAATGGCCATAAGGTTGTGCTGGTCAGTTGGAACGCCGTGGTACAGTCTTTTACAATGGATAAAGTGCATTTCGTACTAAATTTTAGCCTGTAATTAGTACAAATTCCTCTTGACTTTATTAATCATTTTGTAGTTGAGACCTGAGGGAGTTGTATAGTCAATAGGATGGAAAGTGATGAAGTTTGTAAAGTAGGAAATGTGAAAAAGTTCGGTTATTTCCAAAAAGCCTTAAGTTTGTTTGCAGCGTGATTACAGCTATTTGAAAGGGAAACAAAAAAAGGAAAGGGAAAAAATACAATTATCATGATCACCACAACATATCCTCTTGAGCTTGTCAAAATGATGACGGAAAAGATGCGCTCTCAACACATTCAAATCGAAAAACGCATTACAAATGAATAAAATTGAAATCCACAAGGGTTTATAAGTCGAAAATACTCGGTATTCAAGCACTCTTCTTCATGGACATGCTATACTCAGTCTCATTGGAACTACACCGATAAAAGTTTAAAAACAATCATAGATGGGTTAGTTGTTCTTGAAACTGATGTAAGATCACAGAAACAGCCTTCTGGAGTAATGATGGAATTTTGAAATACTTGCAATTATGACGTGTTGGATCATTAGGTTTACTTGTGATTATAAAAATTTTCTTGCCAACTTTATTTGTTATCAAAAGTGCTCCATGATCACAAACAGTCGTTAGCGGAGTGATTAGGCAATTTTTAATTCGAATCCTTGGTGATAAAGTTGCCTAAAGGCTGTAAATTTTATGAGCAAAACCCCGTGTCCTTTGCCCATTGCCTGTGTTCTCAATGTCCATTCCGCCCGCTTTCGGATACAATCCAAACCCCAATTCCAAGTGCACTTTCCCAAAATAACCGTTATTGTACAACCTTACACACCTCATCATTTCCAAACATTGTTGCCAACGTCTTGAACCCATAATTTGGGCTTGCCCTTCATCCCAACGTCCATTCTCATTTCCCTTCCGTTCCCCTTCCAAAAAAAACAGCTCTCCCCTCGAGTGCAAAGAGTCGAAAAAACGTCTCGGGTGGGGGAAGGACAAGGCAGTGTTCGCGTAAAAGTGCAACGTTCGCTCGGTCACTGCCAGCCGTTTTTTATGAACGTCCCAGGCGGTGTCGGTCACTCCGCCGCCACGAAAACAGAATTTGTCGGGGGCAGCCGTTTTTTTTGGCAAGGGAGGAGAGTGTGGGAAAGGAGGGCATGACCCAGTGGTTTTTTATTCACGTGTTCCAATTTTTGGGGGGAAGAAAAGATGGGATATAGGGGTTTTAAGATATTTTACAAGGAATGGAACGGCGTGGGAATGGATTTATGGCCATTGCATTTTAGTTGTACCTTCAAAAATCATCGAGGATTCAATAGATTTTATCAGATTAGAAAAAATTTGCAATTTAAAAGCTTTATTTCCGAAAGTTCAAAGTTCCAAGTAAAGGCCGGGTCTTTTAGCCAATTTTTTTTTTTCACAGAAGAGCAAGGTCTTCTCCTTTGGCTATTTTGATCACCCTCTTCAAGAATAGCCCTTCATTCCCAAGCTCCGCCCACTTTTGTTTTTCCCGCACCCCAGCCGTTTTTTTGACCCGATTTCGGACGTTCCGCCGTACCAGGCTGTCCACTCGCACCCGAGGGTCAGCCGTTTTTTGTGCATCCCACTGACCCCGATGGCTATTCCGCCGTTCTATTTCCCAAATGTTTTTTCCGCAACGACAAATTTATGCGTTTTTCCCAGATCTTCCTCCTCAATTTCTGGGGCGATTTGGAGGTCTGATGGGGAATATTGAATATAAATTATTGATCCCTTTCTTAGGGTTGTCTTGACTTTTTTGGGGGGAATTTCGACAGTTTGTTGTTGGTTTTACAGCGGTGTTTAATGCTTGTGAGCATTAAGCGTTATTCTCGAGGTTTTGATGACAAAAAAATTGCAATAGCAGAAGGTTATCTGTAAAGACAATGTGACCTGTTATTGGTCTATTAAGAAATGTGTTAACTGAAAGTTTTGTGGGTTTTGGATGGGGTCGACTTTCACAGTACGACAGAAGAAACTTTTTTAGCTCCTTGTAATGTCAAAGCAGCTTAGTGGGAAGAGAATTTGATGCAAAAAATAATCATAGACGCCACAAAAAAGTTAAGAAGCTCTGTTATCAAATTGAACAGCTTTTTTGGCTTTTCCCAAAGCTTTCTGTTATCAAAGTCGGGATCTCATTGATTAACTTGCACAAAATTTTTTCGTCTGATGGAACTTGATATTACACGCACTTCTAGAACGTCATCTCATGATTAAAAAACTTATGGATAAGTGTGCCTGAGGGTTGGTTCGGCTCAACACATAATTAATCTCACTTTCCTTTACCCCCGTTCTCCCTCACGTTCCTCATTTCAAAGGCCCGGAAGAGATTGTGTTCAAATAAACTCTGAATCAATTCCAACCTCTGCGGACAAGCACCCACTTCCAGCTCTGCGTGTAAAAACTGTTTCCATTGCTTTCCTCTCACCCATTGGTTTGTCGTTTATCCATAAAAACGAGCCAGCCAGCGGCCTTCTTTCTCGCAATAACGACTACATAAAAAGCGAGCACCAAACGGCCTCGGGCGTTTTTTCCACTTGTAACCATTGAACTCATGGATCCAGAAAACGGAGGAGGGCCCATAGAAAAAGACTGGGGTTTTTATGCAGGGAACGGTGGTTTTTCATTGGGCACGTTGCGTTTTTTCGCATGGACATTGCAGAGAGCGCTGAGAGCAGGACGCGAGAGTGGCGCGGCTGGTAGTGGTCTTTTGCAGCGAGACGGGCCTGGGGCAGGTTGCTTCGACTGCGTTGTTTTGCTGCTTCGGGCGTTGGGAGAGCGGGGAAAGGGAGCTTTTGTTCGAGAGATGAATTTGAGGGGATAATGTTGAATTTACCGTAGAACTAAGTGCTGACCGTAGTAGCGGGTCGCAATAAAAGATTCTAATCGAAAATGAAATTTTCTAGGATGAAACTTCTTTAGCCCGCATTTAAAACAAGTTAGAGATGACTTTTAAGATAGTATCAAAAATTATTCATTGTCTATGCCGCTCAAGGCTCGGTGAATGTCGCAATGTATGTCTAGCATTTTCACGGATTTGCTTAAGGGGTGGACAGAGTGAGTTTGCAAATTTTATGAAAATAAATGCCTCGAAAGTCAAACACTTTTTTGTCATCCTTTTTTGGCCACCATTGTTATGAAAAGCATAGCTTCAGAAGCTTGAAATCTATCGCCAAATCGGGGAAATTGCCCTTCTGTCAGTAAGAAAGAACCCAGAACCGCTACTCACCTTGACTCCATTTCAACCCACCCCATTTTTTGCTACAGTACTCCGAACACTCTCAATTCTAAATTTTAGCCCTCCGTCCTTTCGAAACGATTCCCGTGACTACTCCGCCGTTTTTTTCGCATTTTTTCATCGAGTTTTTTTCGCGCTCGCTTCGCCTTCAGCCCCCGGCCATTTTGTTTTTTTTTCATCACTCGCCAGCCATTTTTTACACTACGAAAGAGAAAAACCGAATATATAAAAAATGAATGAAAAAATAACTCCGATTCTTGTTGACATTCGGAAAGACCACCGGTTTTGGGGAGAGGCTAGAGATCGGGAGGGTTTCGAGACGAGGAAAACGGTCGACTTGAAGCAGAATTACTCGTTAACGGTTGAATGTGAGGGTCGGTTGTGTGATTTGCCAGGGGTTTTATGGAAACTGTGGACCGTATTTGTGCATACGTAAAGTAGAGTCGCCCCGAGGGCATATTGTTTTTCTTGATCCGAGCTTGAAGATCAGGAAATGAAAATTGCGTCTTTGAATATACTGTGCTTCTCATTAGATTTAAAATTTGTAGTTTTGGCTAAAGTTTGCCGCAGTTAAATTTTGATTACAAAAGGCATCCAGAATTCCATCGTATGGCTCGAAACCTCGACCGATGG